CCGATGGGCATTAATAATCTCATAGGATTACGTAGGTGACATTAGAAAACAGATCACACAGTTAGACACATCACCAATCATGGGTAAGAGTTTGTCATAGTCAACTGGCATTTGTCATTTGATTGGTTTGCCTAACTTACGGCATCAGGGTGACTGGACGGCGGACACACTCGGGACCGATTGGTCACGGGCCATGAAAATTGAAGTGATTGAAACAAACGCTTTTGGGCGCAGAGGTCAGGGGTTAAATTTCTTATCCCGATCGCTTCGGCTATAGCTGGGGTGCACAGTCGAACACCCTTGCACTTAGTGTGGAGGACACGATAAACAACTCTGAAAGCGACGTCCGGATTTACTTGATGTCTGGTGTCGACTAAATGGGCTAGGATGGAGCTGGTTATTGATCCGGTCTGTCCTAGTCTTAACCAGCGTGGGTGATGCTCTTTGATCCGAGTAGATAGCTGTCGTGCCGTTACGCCAAAAAAAAGATGCGCCACATACGCATCTGAAGGAGTATACAACCATTGATGAGATCAGTATCGACAGTTTATCCTTGTTTTGAATGTGGATCATTGGAACGCCACGAAACACGCACCGTTGAAGGCGTTCTCAATCTCCCTGTCCTTCTCATCGGGATTACAGCTAAACTTTGATTCGTCATTCAGAATTGCAGTGAGCTTGTCAATGTAATCGCATTTGTTTATCACCACTATTCCGCTTNTTTGTCTGGCCTGCTCAATATGACCTCCTGTTTATTCAATAATTCTTTCACAGCATTTAGGTGCTCTTTTCGGACTGCTCTTTGAAATCTAGGTTTAATCTTTTGGTAGGAATGACAGGCGTTTGCTACGGTTGACTTAAGTTCCTCCAGTGCTTCATTAAATTTTGGCATCAGCCCTTGCGTCTGAGAGTATAGTTTCAAAATACACCTCATAATCGAACCTGTCCCGTTTCCAGGTAGGGGTACAAAACTTCGGGCCCAATGACATTGCCTCAATCATGGTATCAGTCAAATGCAAATTAGATCGATTGTGCACATACCGAGCAGGACGGTTCGGGAAAACACATTGGGGAGACTTCGCGTCCATCCATTTTAGCAACATACCCTGTCTTTTCTTTGTTCGTGATTTCACAATTTGTTCAGAATAGTTCAGGAACGTGACCTTAAGAGTTTTATTTAAACAATCCACAAAATGATGACGCCGTGGAATATTCCGTTCGTATTCCAGTAATTTAGAACGCAAAGTATCACATCGGTTCAACACAAAACGACGTGATGTTTTACTATTAGGATAAATCCGGTTTCGACGAAGAGATTTCCAGTACAATTTTGGGTACTGATTTTGATGAATACAATCCAATAGGAACTGAAGAACGGTGTTCGTTTCAGCACGTCTATTGGGGAAATTAAGGAACTGATTTAGTCCCTTCACCACGTGTGGGTCCACTGACTGTTTCAATGCCTGAAAGATTCCCATCACCGAATTTGTTCTAAATGCTGGCACGCTATCTACCCGAACTACTGGAGCCAGTCAAACAACATATGGCCATACACAGTTTTAAAGATACGTTTGATTTCATACATCGGATAAAGGATGCTTATCTGGAAAAGATCCGGGCAATCACTCATATGGCCATGGTAACAGCAAAGTTTCGACTCTGTTCTAACTGATATGACACAACACCTAATGATTTGTTCATGCCATACCGGGTGATTCACTAGGCTGGAAACACGTTGCGCAAAAAAATTCAGCTGCCATTGATTTGCCCTTGTATTCAACTAAACCGTGTCAGATGGCAGTGGGTGATCACAGATCAATTCACACACTTCCTGAATCGTCCGTGTATCGGTGCGGAAAGCCAACCGCTCTGTTTCGACCTTTCGCTGTTCGTTAAAAACAACTCGCAGTTGCCAATAATTGCAAGACGGACCAAACGAACGACGACAAAACAGATTTGGTTTGACTAAACGCATCCAGTTTGAGTTTTCGGTAACCGTGCGAACAGATCAACCGTCTTAATCCGCTAAAATAAAAACCGGCAAGTTTACCTGTTGAAAAATGCACTATTTGCTACAAACCGGGCTGGTTCAGAGCGGAATGATCTCGTTTCCTCTTTCAAACCGTTGTTACGTAACTGCAACGCAAAACTGTTGACAATAAGTGAGGCGTTGCTAATCAGATTGCATAATCCCGTTCTGTGCGCCCAAAAGTTGGAGTGAATATAATCCGGAAGACTCCAGTGACTACAGAGAAGTTGAGTAATAATGTGAAATGTATACATAATCGCCCAACTCAGTTCAGAGTAGAAAAAATGTCACCGCTTTCCACATGTATGGTAGGTAGCTCGTTTACACAATGTTTCGTGGTAACACATAAGGGAAATACACTTCAAAGTGGCATCCGCAGTGCCACTGAACCTTTTCTCTTATTCGACATTCAGTACTAAGACAACCATGGGTAGGATATTTTACCGACCTAGACTAAATACCCCATGGAGCACCCAATACAAAGTTATCATCACTTGTGAGATCATGGATAACTGTAAATCATTCATATCCTCACCGGTCTCATTCTCTAAACTATAAATGATCGCACAGATGTAATCAGTATGTGAAAAGATGCGACGGGTTGAGCAATGATTCAATAAAGATAATAACCTATGCGATGAAGCTGAGTAGTGAAAGGAGAAACCGCAGATAACAGATTGTTCCCATTGGCATTGTGGATTGAATGTAATAATCAGCCAAGGAATGACAGAATAATATGATTTCTGTTACCTGGTGAATAGGTTCAAATTTGATCTTTTTATCATTGTTAAGTATCTTGTGAAGTGTGCATTTCAATGTCAGAAATACGTAAGCAATCGCATTTGAATCAAGGGAATCGGTTTTATTCGAGAGAAACTCGGCTTCTATGGAATTTACTTATTGGGTTATTGAGGGCTTAGACCGACTCGACTCATGCAATAAATCATGCTCACTCACATTCAGGTCCGGGCATGGTGACCGACTTATCGATCCATCTTGACGCGATTCGCTTCCTTACCCAACCGACCGACAGAGGCCAATTAACTCCGGGTTCGTTCATTCGTATCCATGACGCACACTCGATCAGCGATCAAGAACATAACGTGTGTGTGGGGGGGGGGTGAGAACGGCCCACCTCACCCCAACGAAACATTCATCCTCGCTCATTAACTCACTCGAAATGTACTTTTGTTTGTTAACGGGGTAGTGAGTTCATTCGGACTGGATGGGGTTTAGACAGACCCGGCCCAATCGGTGACATTTGACGGCCGAACACCTATCACCTTGTGGGATTTCCAAAGGAGTGCGATTGGTTGGACTTAATTGAAGTTACGGCGGATTCACTTGAAGCTACGGTGGAATCACTTGAAGTTACAAGGGATTCAATTGAAGTTGGAAAGGTATAGACCAGCGAAGGGCTCAGAGCCAATCTTGTTCTAGCTTCACATGTGCTTCCACCTTGATGCGTCTGTGATAAGAACTATAATTGGACAAAAATCCTGGCGTGCTCATGATCAGAAAAATTTAAAATGTCCGACACACATGTTCATGGACATGGAGCAACATACAACGGTCAAATCAAGGCACGTGCGCTAGTTGCAATTAGATGAAAACGGTCCGCTTGAATCTGCTTCAGTTGTCGTTTCAGAGCGCTTGAAATCAATCATAAGCCCAGCAGTGGGTTCAACTGTGAACGACTTTGATGCACCATCATGCATGTTGACGTGCGTGATCTGAGTAACACCGAATGACGTGGACAAAGCACAATTCGTGTTTCAACTGAATTGTCAAGGTCAACTATAGACCACTGAAAACGAACTCATATAATGACCGGTACAGGGTGAAAGCGATTTGAGCAGTGAATAGCCGGCTCAAATCAGGCCTCATGTAGGTCGTCGATAGGTGTACAAGTTGGACTACGGAATGGTCCGTAACAACGATACAACATCAGTAGAACGTAAACCTATGATCACAGTTCCGTCATATGTAGCCTCGTTCTCTTTAGAGTGTGGAAATTCCCGTAGAAGATAAACATATTCTGAAAGAGGCAAAGTAAATCTTCTTTTATCATTTATTTATGAAATCCAAACAGTTATTCTTCTTTAGCGTGAAATAATTGCTGAAAATCCATGCTTATTTTGAAAAAAAGGTATCAACTGCTCATTAACACCCAATGAGGACGGAGATTCTTATACTTCTCTAGCGAAAGCTTTGAAGACATGTCGGATTTCCTTAATCTCAGTATGAGACTTACATTCCTATCTAAATACTCGTGTATCGTTAAGGTAAACTACAGCTGAAGAACTACTATTTGTGGTCGGTAGAACGGCGAAAGAAATGAACAGTTCAATTACAAGAAGGTAACCACAGAACCTACTACGAAGCACTTCGATCAAATGAATCACGTTGCAGCATTATACCGGGTGGTGGCCCGATAACAATTGCATTGGTGCAGACCCAAGGTGGTTATAGCAAGTTCATCGATCGGTATCAGTTGCTAATGCCAGCAAACAAAATGAATAACATTTGAAAACAGTCAAAATTAATATTTAGCTATGATTGGGGCTGAGCAAACTGGATGCTTGTAAATGGAATAGCGCTTAGCCAAAATAAAACAGATTTTATAACTACACAAAGTACATCAATTTAAGGGAATTAACGAAAAACTGGTGACTAAGAAGCTCGCCAGGAAAAGCTATGCCCGCCTAACAGGAGAAAAGACCAAATAACTCTTTCACCGTTCTGGACTATTTTAACCCACGGAATACCAAAACCGAACTAACGATTGCCGAAAACAAAGTAGGCATTGCCAAGACTAAATGATTGTATCACCCCCCTTCCTATTCACACTAGGACAAAGTTACTGCATACACTGGGTGCGAAATCAACTATTGGTTAGTTAAAGAGTAATGCGCTAAAATTGGGACTGCATCAAATTCTAAGATTCACTTTGGAAGCACCATGCTTATTTTTAGTTCACAAACGAATGGATGGCACTATATGAACATGCATGCTCTGATTGAGAAACGCTGGTAAGGATATACATATATATAGCAGTTTTGTAAACAACAGCGCTGATTGTTGTTTTTAGAGCTCGGGTAGTATAACGTATTGTTCAGTTGATCGCCGAGCTTGGCAGTTGTATTGCAAAAATTTCATCACCAATCCAGGTGACATTCTCATGCAGTAACTGGCTAGTCTTTTATGGTTTATAAGCTAATCCATTTCATTTATAACGCTATCCGGGTAGGGATTGTTCAAATTTGATCTTTTTGCCTTGGCCCCAAGAACGATCGCACAGGCGATTCGATCCCTCCACCTAAACAAAATATCACACGGCACTCAATGACCCATGAACCAAACGCTAGCATCCAACGGAAAACCGAGTTCGGGATATTTCACGTTGCTAGCTGATGCAGAGATACTTAACTCACGCTTTGACTTTCTTCGGAATAACTGTCTGTACATACAAATTTTAACGAGAGTAGTGGAGCTGATCGAGGTGAACTGATTCAACCAAACAAGTGCCACGTGAAGATAAAAGGAAAACAACTCACAGGTGGTATGTGAATAGAAATGATAGATATAAAGGGTGCAGTAGAACATTTCATTCCCCAGACACATCAGGAAGAGCACGATCCGGTTATGATAATAGAGTCTCAATATAGGACTCGCATTCATATCGATGGTTTTGTGACTTTGGCCACCACCTAGAATGGAGCTGGAATCGCTTAGGTGTTGAGTAAGGCACTACTTACCTGTGCATGTGAAGCCAATGACTCGAAATATCCACAATCATGCTCAGCTGGAATACGAACATCCAGGTGGGATAGAATACGATCAGACAGGCCAGCAAACACATAGTTGCGCATCGATCAACAAGCATGTCGAGCATAGCTCCGAATTTAGTGCCTAGAAATGGGATCAGATGAATAAGGGGAAGGTCGCGGGCAACGTTTACTTTGGTTTAAGATTCGAGCAGCATGACCGTCCAAAGCATCCAATAATCCCGATATGATATAGGCGATCGCGGCTGCCACACAATTTGTGCGCATACAATAACAGGAGCATAAGAGCAGGATGATACGTCCATAACCTGAGAACAGAAAATAAACGATAAAATACTCCGCACAATCCATCACCATTGCTTTAATGCATGCATACCGTGCATAGGATAGTATATTATATGTGAATGCACATCCATAATGAGATTAGCGAATTGATGCACGGTGAGAACGAAAATATTTCATGTAATTAGGGCTATAGCCGAAAACTTGCAAGTGAATATGTATATATTGTATAGCATNATTTGCCTGACAGTCTGAAGCAGCAATCTCATTGTGATGGTTCAACATTCTACGTTTCACGGGTCCGTCTTCTGATTTTCATTAAGTCTTTTTGTTCGTGTATTTGGCATTCTCCATGATTTACCGCATTGAGCAGGAAACTTGTGGTTGCAAACTCCGGGGTTAGGTTATCGGTACTCGTTTTTTATCCCGTAGGGGATAACAAAACAAACAGCAGAAATTCTCACAAGAACACCGCTGCTCTCCGTGTCACAAATCATGTTCTTCACAACTTCGTCTCTGAAGTTGCTGTTTATGCGTTTATCCATTATTGGGCTGCGTCCAATCTCTCTCTCTCTTTTAAACATCATCAACCAGTGAAAGTGCAATAAGTTTCAATTCCTTTCAATTATTGCTAGNGTACACGCTGCACTACTCTCCGAAAAACGCTTTGTTCGCTGCAAGGCCGAAAACTCAGTTTCGTCCATCACCGGTAGCTGAAAACTTTGGCCCCTTGCCAAAGCATTCTCCCGACATTTCTCCTCTCCCAAGTTCCCCTATATCTGTGATACTTCTAGTGATCTTTATGTCAACTACACGAGAAAGCTGAGGTATTAGCTTCCCAGTTTGTCGCCAAGTCCACCTTAAGCAAGTATCCTAATCCTCCACCTACTCCCTATTTCACTGGCAACCCTTTTCTTCCTCTTCTTACCATTGGGAAAATCCGCCAAACACTTCGCTCTCTAAACGCAAATGAACCACTCGGTCCGGACGGTAATCTATCCAACTGTTCTCAAACTTAACGCTCCTGAGCTGGCTCCCATTTCATGTCAACTTTTCAATCTTTCCCTCTAAATTCCGACTTTCCCAAAGCATTCGAAACGCGGCGTGATTTTTTCCATTCCTAAACTCGGCGATCTTTCTGACACCAACAAGAACCAACCTATTTGCGTCACATCTGTCCTTTCAAAAGTATTTAAAACCATCATCTCCGATCAAATACGCAAATTCCTTGAACGTGATTTTATTGGAGGAGTGTAATTCTTACAGAGAGTCCGGATCCCCCAGTTCCCGCTTTGTGTGTGGCATCTCACACATATATGTCGATCAATGGCACAACATCGTCACAACGGTATCTCGGACGGTCGAAAAATATGCACCCATAAG